CCCGGGGGCGCTGCCAGCTCCCTCCCCGTGGGAAGGCTCCCGCTCCCCGGTACGTGCCCGGGGCCCTCCCGGCAGAGGAGGGCCCGGCCGTGCACAGGCCCCGGCCCCAGGTGCCTCCACATGAGCACCTGAAGGCGCTGAAGCCGAGCTGGTGAGGGCAGACTCGGCCTAGGGACCGACGTTTCCCTCTAGGGAGGGGCTGGTGGCTTTACCCCCGTGAGGTGAGGGCAGCCAGGTACGGAGTGGGGCAGACCCGGGGGCAGGGTGGAGCTGGAGAGCGGGAGTGGAACTGAGGCAGCTCAGCCTCGGGGCACAGGCTTAGGCCTGTGGTATTTTGATATTTGGTCTTAGGGACCAGATACCGAAGACATTTTCCTACAGAAGAGTGGGGCAGAACATGGGACCTGCTAAAATAATGTATTTTTCTTCCTCCAGCAAGATCAGGGAACATGCAAGTTGCCCAGAGAAATGATTTGTTAAATACAAGCTTCTTACCAACTCAGGCTAAAGGGACAACTTAACGTTGCAGCTTTAGATACACACAGGAGACAGGTATTCCTTTGAACGCAGGTCACGCTTTATTCTGAAGTCTGCTTGCCATTATTCCAGCCTTAGCACAGGGACCATGCCAGGACAGAAGTTACCAAAATAAGTTACATTAGGAATGACTACAAAGCGCTGTTTGCCAGGAAAATAACCAGCACCTCTCTCTCTCTCTCCCCCCCCTATTTTAACAACAGGGCGTCCTGTCACCTTGGCAGAGTAACTCCTGGCAAAAGCTGCCTCATTTGCTGGCTTCTTAATGGCGGCAAGAGGTTTCATGCATGGAGTTACACACCAACAGATAATCCCTGAAGTCATTTATAGGACTAGGAAAGATAATCCCACTGCAAATTGGCATGTTTAAAAGAAAAGCCCAACCTTGCTAAGTGTTTCTCTGTGAAAGTAAAAGTGTTTGGCTGATCCATAAAGAGAAATCTCTTTTTAAGAAGCAGCCTCTTGCCCCCAGCTGTTCCTGGTCTGCTGCAGGGCTGAGCCTCTCCGGAACCACAACAGGAAGAAAGGAAGTTCTGTCTGTAACACATATTTTTAAATTTGTAGAAGGAGGGAAACGGTATCAAAGGCCAAGTGCATCATCCTCTCAAGATCTGTGTAGCTGGGATGAATTAAAAACAAATCCAACGTTAAAAATAAGTTGAGACCACTTCTTCTCTCCCACAACTCGTCTCAGCAAGAATTAGCCGTTCACACATACAGCTGGGCTGACTTAGAAAGCTGAAATACAGATCCCCATCTTCCCTTTCAGTGCAGCAGCATGACTTAAAAGACAGTAAATCACGACACGGAATCACCCCACCTTGGGTATCAAGTCTCCTTGCAAACTACATCTTACTGTAAACTCAGTCTGGGCCGGTGAGCGAGCAGGAGGCACTCTTAGCACGACTGGCAGCTGGACACGTGATTAAAAGAGAAAGTGCTGTTCTAGCCAGGGAGGCCTGGCCAGAAGAGCGGGACTTTTTCAGAGATCTTCCCCTGGTGCATTGGTTTTGTTCTCCTCTGCATTGGTTTTGTTCTCCTCTGCAGCCAGTGCCACCTCTGCATCTTTCTCTGCCTTCTCTTCCAGCTTCTCTAGCACTTCACACCCTTCCCCTGGAATCCCATTTGCTCCCTTTGGTTCTTCGGGTGTCTTAGCCACCTCCTTTGATGGTGTAGCCTTTTCCAACATGGGTGATTTTATATCAGTCACCTTATCTTTCTTCTTCTGCTTTCTGCTATCCTGTGACACTTTAGCTATCGCCCTGAAGGGACCCACAAGCCAGTTCAGCGGGGTGTTCTGAGTTACGTACTCAAGCAGGTCATCTAGGGACCTTTGGGCTTCTGCCACGCGGACCTGGCTCTGGGTCAGGGTGGTGCTGGAGAGGTCCTGGAAAGACATAGCACTGGCAAAAGAGCTGTGGAGCTTGTGGATATTTCGAGTGGCCTGATACACAGCTTCTTGGATGTTGCTGGGGAGGCCTTGGATGCTGGCTTTCAGGTTCTCATAAACAGGTTGTAGCTGCTGGGTGATGATATGCAGCATAGCTAGAGTCCGTGACTCTACCTGCTGGGAGAGAGATATAGCTCAGTTACCAGAGCAGATGAGATGTACACCATCCACCAGAGGCCTGATTAAATACGCCCTTCTAGGGATACCTCTGGATGGGAGGCGGTTTTAACTTGGTTTCCTTTGGGTTGGGTCAGGCTCCAGTCCACCCACAGCTGATGGAGCTTCTCCTGCCCATGCAGAGGCTTCTGGCCAACCTCTTGTTTCACAGATTCAATCTGATGGGAAAAATGAAAGGAAGAGCTGTATTGCAAGCACACACAATCAGAGAAGCATGAGTGCTTCCCTCCCAGGGAGGGATCCAAGATGCAATGCAGCTGGTGCAGGATGGAGGAAGAGCTTCCATCTGGATAGTAGGGCAGGAAGACTACAGACAGGAGGAAAAAGGAAAAAGCATGTTTGTACCAGTTTTATTGCCTGCTGTAGTCGTGAGAGAGTATCCTGGGTGCTTTGCTTAACGCGCTCCAGTTTGTTCAGGGAGTGCTGGTAGGCTCGGTGGCGGACTTTGTTAGAGAGGGAGCCCAGACGCACAAAGTAACTCCGTTGCTGTTTCTGCTCCTCCACAGAAGCCATACCAAATCCCTCCACGGCAGTGGCCAGTTTACCTGGAGGAAACAAGAACAGAGATGGCTGTGCTCCACTCCCCAAGCTGTAAGTGAGGGGAAGAGGTAAGATCACCTATTGGAAAACATGAAGGCTGAAGCTTGCTGTGGAACCAGTAGAGGTTTGTAGTTGCTCAGATGTTAAAGGTAGGCTAGTCCCTGCTCAACGTGTTCTCTTCAGATAAGCAGACTTGACAAATAGGTTGAACCATGCACCCACGTGTTTATTTGCCTTGATGCTGACAGGCAATGACCAGCTAGAAAATGCTTGAACTCTGTCCCATACAATGTGGCAAGTCAGCGTTAACAGAGAGCCAACTTGGTGACATTCAGAGCTACCTGTCTACTTTGGAAGATGTGTTTTGCAGCATCAGGTGCTCTCTAGTCATGTGGGAAAGGATTTGCATTTACAATCGCCAGCTAAGCATTTTCTCACCTAGTTCCTCCTCTGTCATCGGGAGGTAGTGATCCACCAGATCTTCTGATATACCCAGGACAGATTCCACACCACCTGCCACTGCTTGGCTCACTGCCTTGGCTTTGCTTATGCTGTTGGTGACCACTGAATTAGTCATCTCCACACCCTCCTGGATAGCCTCTCTGCTCTGCTCCAGCGCTGTATTTATTTTGCTAGCTATGGTGCCATATGCAGCATCCAGAGCTGTATTGACTGTAGAAGTGACCACTGATTTGGTCTTCTCGACACCATCCTGAACAGCCCCTTTGGTTAGGTCCACTGCC